TTCCACGTTCTCTACCTGAGCATCAACTGTTTTGTTGACCCCCATTTGTGTAAATGGTTTCATCACTGTTTTTATTTTCAAAGTGCCCCAAAAAGAATGCCTCCTTGAAGTTGGCTCCAAGATTGATCTGGTACCGGTAGCAGTCAGTTTCGAAGGTTCACGCCTTCACAGGCTCCAATGGTTCGAAGCACAAAATTGGGCTCTAAAATAATGAAGGACTACTCTGAAGTGCACAGGATTGAAATTATCTGCCCCATGCCATATTTCTTAGCCTTTTCAGGTAGATATTCATTACCTCCCTGTGCACAATTTGTATATAAAAAGGATAATCAGTGAAACATTCTTGGCACCTTTGACATAGTAATAATAGAGTATGAAATTCATCGTTTTGATCAGTCAAACCTGGCCCCATTAATGTCTGGGAGTGGATGTAAATTAGCGGCACTCTGTTTGTTAACCTCACTTATCGCTATCTCTGCATTTCTCAAACGGAAAAATGAACGAAGTATCTGCAGGATTGGTATGCCTATGTAAAACAAGAGGTTAGGTGTCGTGTGCACAGCGGCAACCACCCCAAAATAGGGATAACTGGAGGCTGTAGTGCCTCCAGATACCATTAAAGGAGTTAAGCCTACTGCAGAGGTGCAATGTTTGGATCCCTTAGCAGTTCAGTATAAAGATGGAAATTTAAAACCAAAAAAATCGAGCAAATTTTGTGGGCCATAACCGTAAGGTTGACTTTTCAATTCGACTCAACTTGTTATAAGCTGTAACAGTATCGACAGTTTGGTGTTAAGAAAAGTATTGCTTTTAATTGCAGCTGAAAGTGTAAAGGAGCGCCATTTTTGTCATGATTCTGTCTATAACTGCATTACTTTTTTGTGCAATGCGAAATAGGGAGTAGGCGTTTATGGTAGCTAAAAATAATAGCTACCGGCCAAAGCTTCTCCTCATATTCCAAATCAAGTCGCTTGTGGGGGTGTTACGACGAATACGTTGCATAAACATCCATGCCTGTGAGTTTAGAATAATAGAAACTCCGCGACTGCGATATGGAAACCACATTTGCTAGTGCTTTGAATTATGGAGCAATTGCTGGATGCGTGACAGGAACACTGGCTGCAAAATATTCAAAGGCATCTGAATTTTTCTACAACCGCGTAAAGCAACTGACAACGGAGAAGTACTTTTTCTTTTTATAAGTAGAGCTTATTAGTGGGAAGTTTATGGTGTGAAGTTAAAGGCGGAAGGGCGAGTGAGGCGCATGCTAAGGAGCAGTGTAGACACCTTCATTTTCCGTCTGACTACCACGAAAGGTGAATTGGCACCAAAGCCATCAGTCTACTCGATTCCGCCTCCCTTTTACTCAAACGTCCTACCTTTAGGCAACAATGATTCTCCTTCATATCTCAAGATCCTTCCATCCTTTAGACGAAAAAAAAAACAACTCCAACGGATTGCTCACCGCGTCGAAATTAGGTATAGATTTTTACCATAGGATACCAACAATGGAGTTCGTGTTGCGATTGTATTCATATAAATTAACCAACTTTAAGGCATCTTTATTTGGAACCTCCGGTCAAATAGCGACCACCGACTTGACACCATTTTGAAGGCTGGGCTCCTAAGTTTAAAGCAATCATCCAACTGGCACCTAAGGCACTGTTTGACTTAGTTTGTCAAACCATTTACAGCATTTGACTGTCATGGTGTTTCAATAATCTTAAGCCTTTAACCGCCGGAGAGTTCATTTTTAATCCACTTTTGGGGCATCGCTGGCTTAAAGTGAAGTGATGAGATGGTAGAAAGAAGGTGCTTAAGCACCTTAGTTTGCCAACGAAATAAGCCCTGAAATTCAAGGAATTTACATCAGTATCAGCGTTCTAGAGAATGGGTAAAAGGATTCGTTAATTTTGTGTCGCAGTTGAAGAAAATAATATGGGAGCGGTGGTCTCTAATTAATGATGGTTCAAAACTATTCTAGCTGACAACCTTTTGGACGCAACCTCTGATGTACCTTTTAATTCGTTCCTTCCCTGCCACGGTGCGTTGTTTGGCAATAAAGCACTTTTGGATACCGAAACGTACATACAATGCCTTTCAGGTTTTTTAGGCGAAGAAGTTCATTAAACAACTGTATTACTTCCTTCTTCTATTGCTTAAGTACAAGAAGGGGTTTGGAAGGGGCGAGATGTGAAAGCAAAACCACCGACACGGTCCATAGAAGGCTTTCCAAGATCTTCGGAAAGGGCACGTTTGCAAAAAACAAAAGAGCAATAAATGTGTGCGATTACCA